TCTCTCACTCAATTGAGAATTGAGAATATTTCAGAGATGTCTTGCTTGCCTAAGTGTTTTACACAGTTCTTAACAGCTCTTGAGAATCTTGAAATTGAAGGGTGCAGAGAACTTACTTGTTTGTGGGAGGATGGATCAGAAACAATAAACCTTGCTCGCCTTGAGAAAATGAAAATTAGGAGTTGTCCTTTGCTTGTGTCATTGACAGGGAAAGAACAAGGCCTCTTGCCTTTGAATCTTAAACATCTTGCCCTCTCTAGTTGTGAGGCATTGGAGTCATTATTACCTGATCTGATGATGAGGAAGATGGGCGGAAGCAACAGTAATAGCACCGGTATGTTGAGACTTGAAGAGTTACAACTTTTTGGTTGTCCTTCTCTCAGGTCATTATCCTTGCCCATCACAGTTAAGCGGTTGAGAATAGGAGGATGTGAAAATCTTGAGTCTCTACCGGATGGAATACTGATGCAAGATGATGGTGACAACAACAGCAATCTTGAATATTTATATATGGGGAACCATCCACCTCTAAATGCTTTTCAGAGGGGTCAGCTGCCAGCTTCTCTCAAGGAATTTGAAGTTCAGCGTTGCGAGGGGTTGGAATCTATTTCAAAGGGAATGCTGCATCAATGTACAGGACTTAGATCCATTGAAATTTGGAGTTGTCAAAGGTTGAAAAGCTTACCCAGCCTTGATCGCCTCAGCAATCTCATTGACTTATGCATTCAATATTGCCACGATTTAGAGTCCATCCCAAGTCTGGGCTTATGCATCCCCAATCTCAAGGAATTGCACATACGGAGTTGTACGAATCTCAAGTCCTTCCCAAATACTACGATGTCGCAGCTGAAATCGCTTCAGAAGCTACAGATAAGAGGTTGTCCAAACATAGAGTTGATTCCGTCTCCAGGTGGGAATGAGAATGGGGGTTTACTTTTAGATTTACCCCCAAACTTAACAAGTGTTTGGTTAGACGAAGCAATTCTCAAGTTCCTACTACCAAATACGACTCAAAAACTATCCAATCCAGTTCCAGATGGGCATTTGGCAACGGTGGCGGGATGCGGCCTCCACAACCTTACCTCTCTTCAAGACTTGTCAATTAGTTGTCGGACATGGCCGCCGGATATTGTGCTGCCTTCTTCTTTAACCACTCTTTGGATCGAAGATGTTGAAAATCTGGAATCAATACCCAGAGAGCTCCTCCAAAACCTAAACTCTCTTCGATTGTTGGGAATAGGGAGTTGGCCGAAGCTACGATCCTTGCCACAGGAAAGCTTGCGTCCCTCTCTTGAAGTACTCGACATCTACACCTGTCCATTGCTAAAACGACAGCGCTTTGAGGCGGAAGGAGACCACTGGCCTCTCACCCATACCATCCCCTACGTTGCGATAAATGGGAATCAGGTAATAAAACCTACTGCTATGAAGCTGAAACTGGGTATCATGTTTTCTGTTATGCTTTTCCTGCTAAAATTTTTGATTTACTAGGTATATAAAGCAAAGGAAGGCTTGGTCAACTGCCTTTTCTTATCTTATATATATTATCCATTCTGTGCAGGTATTCCCATACGATAGCACTACAACCATTTCTTAATTACTTGACTCAAATCTTGAACAAACTCATCAAAATCCTACAGGCTTAATTACTTCAGGTAGAGTTTTTACTTTCTTTAATTTCATGAATATTTCCAGATGCAACTATACTCAATGTTACTCCCACATCGTTCTATTCTACTTAATTTTTTTGGATAATAAAGTTCATCTAAATAACAAGAGAACCATTTCATTATGAGGATATTCTGTACTACTACTTCATCTTCATAAAGCTATTTAAGCTTTTATTTTGTATTTGCATATTGCAAGAAATGGATTTTATTGGAGTTCTCTCGTAAATTTCTCTTTCCATATCAGGAGAGTGCAACAAAATGAAGGGGGATGGCCTATTATAATTGGTAAGAAATCAACAATGAATAAGTTTTAGTAATCTTCTCTCTTATTTCATCCTTAAATCTCAATTATCAAATGTTTCTCTTTACAATAAGGTGGAGCTTCTGACCATAGAAAATCTTTAGAACTCATCTCACTCCCAATATCTCTATCATTCACATTTTTTAAGCAATGTACTTGAAACCATCTATTCTTACAATATGGCAATGATACAACTACTGTATTCCTTTTTCATTCAGTATTCTTAACAATGAACGTATTTGCAGAGTATGCTTCAAGATCAGATGTCTCGATGAATAAATGGTAGTTTACTTGGGATCCATCATGGCTGTAGTAACAAACTTCTATCCTTGAAAGGTGGTGCATCCCTCTTTTTAAGGCACTTCAATTTCCCTACTGTGCTTCACCTTCTCATCCCCACTGTTGTCAGAGAGATTTTCAATCATTTCATCAAGAAAATGCTAAGCTTTAATTCACTTTTGTAGGACATGGATTTTCTTGGAGTTTTTCTGGCAATTTCTCTAGCCATATCAGTTACAATTTGAGGATATGTATGAAGGTGGATGGATAGAGTACTGCTTCAAGGTAGCGTTATGCTCAAATCATTAATCCTTTATTGGGCAAATTTTAAAAACTTAAGTTCAAGTTATTATAAATGCACTTATTTTGACTACTTAGAACTGCCATTTTACTTTCTTTCCCCCTTCATTCAGGATCAGTTTGTTGCATATCTGTCCATCACTTCGGTGTTGAGAAAAACACTTCATGGATGCATAATTGAACTGAAAGGGTGGTAGATGAAGACAAGCAGGGGAAAAAATTACTGGTTAGTGGCTGCTTTTGGGGATCATTCCAAAAATGAATTGACTTGCTAATTACTAGGATGGTGATTCAAGAATTTATTTTTGACGATTTATTGTTGTTGAGAGTTTCCAGCCTTGCCTAGAGAGAGACTTTGTAATTAATCTTGACATACATTTCAATGGTGAAAGTTACACTTGCAGATTCAGATGTTTTGTGGTTGTTTTGTTTTCCACGTTAAAAATTTAATGTCTTGAGCTTAGTTTGCGAGTACCGTACTACAAATGTAACAGTAACTTTTTTTGTC